AATTAATAAAGAAAAGATATTTTGAGAGAAATAAATATATTCGAAAAATATATTATATATATAAAATATTTGTAAGTAAATATATCAAATGTATATGTAAGTAGTCATATTGTTTTTTTGGTTAGTTTATAAACATACAACTAAAATTAATTTTTGATTAGACATTTACATAATAATTATTTATTTATTATTATTAAAAATTTATATTTCAAATTGAGGAAACGTTTATAGATATATATAAAAGATAATATAACGAGATGGAGTAATTTATGTTGATCACATTTAATTGTTGAAATTAAACAAAATTGAAATAATATAAATTGAAATTGAAAAATTTCTGGATTTTATGTTTACAATTTTGAAGATAATTGTTAATTGACATAATGTAATTAATTGTTAAAATATTTTGTTTGAAAATATGACAAATTTGATAAAAAATTATTTTTTTCTATATTCTATTTTAATAATAAACATTTATTGCTAAATATTGCTATATAATATAGTTGAATAAAATTAAGGTAATAAGAACATTATAATTTGGAGTCGAAATATTTCATCGATATAAATGTAACATAATTTTAATCAATAATCAAGAATAATAGGATAATGAATATAACTCTTAAGTCTAAAAACCGAAAAAATTTTATCAGTTTTATATTTCAAAAAATTCTTCTACTATAAGTAAATTTTTTCCTTTTAGATACCGAGGAAAAAATAAAATGGAAATGACAAGAAACATTCTAATTCTAATTTGATCTCGGAATGAAATGAATAAAATAACAAATAAATTGCATCAATAATATTCGTGTATATATATATATAGTTAATTTTGTAAGTCATGTAAACAAGAAAACTTTTTTAAAATACTCAGAACAGCAAGTCTATTTTGTAAATTTCTCATATATATATATTATATATATTTTGCTTTTGAAAATTTTTGAAAATATAATTTAAGAATATATTAATTTCCATAGTTTAGATTAATCAAGTTACTTGAATTTAAATCAAGAGATTTTAAAGTTATGTAATACGATTGAAAAATGTTTTTTTTTTTTGAAAATATGACAGCATAAAATGATAATAAATATAAAATATGTACTTTAAATTTAAAAAAAAAAAATCTTCGTATATCGTATATATTGTCTAATTATATTCTCTTAATAAAAAGGAGAACGATGACACGCGGTTGACGATGACACAAGTTTTTCAAAAATTTTAAGGTAAAAATTTTTATTCAAATTTAAAATCTTGTATTAAAAAAGTATAATTTAAAAGACAATGATAAACTTTTTTGATATTTTCAAAAATAAAAATCTTCAACCAAACATTTACATGTATACTTAACATTTGTATGTATACTCAACATGTATACTTATACATTAATTTTATATGAAATATAAATAATAATACTTATCATTTACAATTGCTTTTTTGAAATATTTGAAAATGCATTTTTTTTTACAATGTTTTTATTTTTAGATATATTTATTTTAATTAATTAATAGTTAAATAAAAATTAATAAAATTTTACTACTAAATATATAATTTTATTATATTTGTAAAATCAATTATTTCATATTTCGTAGTAATCTAATAATAATCAATGTTTGAATTCTTTTGTGATGTTCAACTTGAACCATTGCTAATAGGAATAATAATTTTAAGAGATAATCAATAACTAAAGAAACTTGTTTGACTGGATGAATAACTAAATATTAAATATTGCGAATCAAGATCAATCAAAATTGTTTATCACAAGGATATAAGTCACTCATCAAATGGATTTTGAGAGAGATGGCTACGTCTCGATATCTCAAGATAGGACGAGAGAGAAAGCGGACTCCTTTCGGCTTTTACCAATCTCGTGAACGATGTTTTGCGTTTTGTGCAGAACAGAGAAAGTAAAAGTATCACTGCTACATGACACAGCAAGCTGGTTTCTTCCATCTTTCGCTTTCATTCTCTTTGAATATTTATATTTAAGATAGAATGAACGAGCTACATCACGATAATTTTTAATAAAACGTTTATTATAATTTCATTCTAACACAATTAATTTCAAATATAAATATAATTAAAATTTAATATTTATTTAGAATTTATATACAATTAATATTAGTTAAAAGTTTTATTATTTATTTAACGTGATAATTATATTTATATTATTATTTATAATTATGTTTATTTCAAAATACATATTCATAAATTTCTGTTTCGTTAATAAATTTTAAATCTATTTTCATTATAATTAAAAGCGAGAAGATCTTTATCTTTATAATGACTCAATTTTATTATATATTATTTTATATAATATTATTTTGTCCTTGTTATTCATTTTTTTACTTGTTTTTTATCTGTTTGTTAATATTAAAATATATCTTTCTTATTAATGGATAAGATGGTATAAGATGATAAAACATTTTTTATCATGTTTACGTATCATCTAACATCATAAAAACAAATTAATGATACCTTTGTAATCATAGAGAAAAAATAATATTATATAAACACAAATAATATTATAATATTTAAAAATTTTCTTTTTTTAAATTTATTTTAATTAATAAAAAAAATATTTATTATTATAATTTTTTTAAAATATGTATTATTTTTTTATTTTTAAAAATAATATAGAACAAATATTGTTTTTGATTAGATTGATTAGATTGTTTTATTTATTTTTTATTCTATTATCTGAAACATTGTAATTAAACTTTCATAAAATAGTTTTTATACAAAGATGAAAAAATTGCAGTCTTGTGAGGATCAGTCAGCAATGATACTTTTACTCTATTAGCAAGAATAAATGAGATAAAAAATTTTATTGTCATTCTTTAAAACTCATTTTTATTATAAAAAT